AACATTACCCAAAAAGTAAAATGATAAATCAGAGATATCCCATTCTTATATCTGATATGGAATTAATATCCTGAATATATAAAGAACTCTTACAACTCAATAGCAAAAAAACCCAAAGAAGCCAATTTAAAAAATGAGCAAAGACTTGAACAACCATTTCTCCAAAGAAGATATATAAATGACTTATAGCATTAGAGAAAACAAATCAAAATCACAGTGATTACCTTATGTACATATATGACTGCAGGACTGATGTGATTCTACAACATGTACAATCAGTAAAATGAGAAAGTATACTCCACCTATATATGATATATCAAAGGTCAAAAATACATTCTACTGTCATGTATAACTAATTAAAACAAAAAAACCCTGAAAATCACAGTGAAATATCACTTCATGCTCCTTAGGATACTATTGCATATAAAAAGAAAAATAACAGGTTTTGGCAAGAATGTGGAGAAACTGGAACCCTTGGGTACTACTAGTAGAAATAGAAAGTGGTCCAGCCACTGTGAAGACTAGGTTGGACTTTCTCAAAAAGGTAAACATGGAATTACCATGTGATCTGTCAAACTCGACTCCTAGTTAATATATTCCAAAGAATTGGAAGCAGGGACCCCAACAGATATTGTACACCAGTGTTCAGAGCATGTATGATTAATAGCTAAAAGGTAAAAACAACCAAGTCCATCAACAGAAGAAATAAATGAAATGTAATACATATGGATATACATGGAATACTACTTGTCCATAGAAAGGAAAAGAAACTCTGATAGATGCCATAACAGGAATGAACCTTGAAAACATTATGCTGAGTGAACTATCTCAGACACAAAAGGAGAAATTTCATATGATTCCACTCATATGGGGTACCTAGAAGAGGCAAATGCCCAGACATAGAGAGTAGAGTTGAGTCTACGAAGAGCTGGGGAGAGGAGGGGTGGGGAGTAGTGTTTAATGGGTACAGAGTTTTAATTTGGGATTATGGAAAATGTTCCGAGAGCGATTAGCAGTGATGGTTGCATAATATTATACATCATATTGCCCCTGAATTATATTCTTAAAAGTGGTTAAAATGGTAAATTTTATGTTGTACATACTTTAGCACAATAAAAATGAAAGAATACACCCACCCGTCTGGCTGCTGGCAAAAAGGGACCAGAGAGAGGTGATGTGCAGTCAGGGGAAGCTATGTGTGGAGAGAAGAATGGTGAGACACAGAGCAAGGTAAAGATGAGAAATCATACCGGCCAGAGAGGAACAGACAGAACAGCTGCTGGGCGGCCAAAGGGGGCCCAGCTCTGCACTTCATTCCTGGGAGACTCATCCATGTCTTTTCAGTGAATTACTTTATGCTCAGCTAGACTGACCGCCTCTGGGCTCCTTGAAGGGAGAAGAGCCTGATGAAGGCTGGGAGTGTAGCTGAGAGCCAGGAAAGACGTTGCCTGGGACGCCAAGCTCAGGTAGCTGGTTTCTGAACAGGACTACAGCTCCAAGAAAGCAGGAGACATGGCATCCCCTGCCCCTCAGATCCTCGCATGGTGTCTGCACATATAGATCTTCAAAAGGGGCTGGGGGTGGCTCAGCAGTAGAGTCCTTGCCTGGCATGGGTGAGGCACTGGGTTTGATCCTCAGCACCACGTAAAAATAAATAAATAAAATAAAGGTATTGTGTCCATCTACAACTAAAAAAAAATATTTAAAAGAAAGATATTTATCCAATGAAGGTTAAGAATCTCTCCCATGAGTTTATAGAGATCTAGGATTCTAGGCTCTCACTTACCAAATTCATATCAATAGCCACCATAGGAATTTAAGTCCCTAATTTTCCCTTATTACTGCTTTGAATGGCCACGCTTAGCTTTTCACAAAGACTTATACCTAATTTGTTCAAAGTCAAAGTCTCTGCTGACATTTCCATTTTATATAATCCTGAATACTTTCCATAAAATGTGAGTTCCAGCATGTTCAACATTTATTGGATTCCCAATGGTTTCCATCATACCAGGTAAAGAAAAGTTAAACCCACTTTCTTATGTATATAGAACACATAATGGTTTTTAATTTCATAATACAGTTACCCTCCATATCCATGGGTTATACATCCAGGGATTCAGTCAACAATGTATCAAAAATATTTTGAAAAAAACTGCATCTGTGCTGAAGATGTAGAGACTGCTTCTTCTTGTCATTGCCTAAGAACCCAGAGAGTACAGAATTAGTTACCTGACATTGTGTCTAACTAGGCATTATAAGCAATCCAGGGAAGATGTGAAACACATGGAAGAAGTGTGTAGGTCATGTGCAAACATACCATTTGATATAAGGGATTTCCCTCTCATTTTAGCACCCAGTGGGAGTCCTGCAACAAACCCCCTGCAGACATCAAGGGAAAACTGTACTCTATTATCCAGAGGTGAGAGAAAATATTGCCTTCCTTTCAAAACACAATGTCAGAATTTCAAGAGAGTCTTAGATAGCAAAGCTGGAGTTCTGCTCGTTTCCTTTTTCTCACTCATTCCAACTACCAGTGCATACGTTACTTCTAACATGGGAAACTAGAAACAACCTGATTTTATAAAAAAAGGGACACTTTCACAGATAGCCATTTATCACCAAATTGGGCTATCATGCTCAGATTGAGATGGCAACTCTTTAGAAGGAGACATTTACAAAACATAGTTAACTGAAAAGAGAGGAATGCAAAAGCAAACTTGCAATTTCATTACAGTCATCTAAAAATGAATTTTGTAGCTATAAAGATTATGAGGTACTGAAAGGAGATGAAAACAGTTGCTAAAGGCAGTGAGACTGTTTACAGGATTTAAAAATATATTTAAAGTTTGTCTTATAAGATTTTAAAAAGTGAACTATGAACACACACACACACACACACACACACACACACACACGGCTCCAAAATGAATGAAGATTTTTTGGCCAGGGCTAACAGATGCCTTGTCTGGGATTCTATAAGGCAGGGGTTCTTCAAGTGTGTTGCCTGGACCAGCAACATTACATCAATCTGGGAATTTGTAAGAAACTCAGATTAAATTTGAAACTCTGGGCTGGTCCCAGTGATCTGTTCTGATAAGCCTTCCAGGTGATTCCCATGTCTACTCCAGTTGGAGAGCCACTGCTGTCAAGTACCATTCTGAGGTTCTATGACTTCCACAGGTCTGCAGGGTCCTCTTTTCTTCCCATGTTTTCCCAAGCACCACTCTCACTGTTCACAAGAGCTCCATGCTACTCAACCAAGTGCAGGTCTTCACTGACAGCTGCACTCCTGCTGCTGAATTCATCTTTACTGCTGCAGCCAGTTAACATGCACTATACCCAGGTGTTAAGTGCTTTATTGTATCATCTCATTTAATCCTCATGACAGCCTCACAAGGCCAACGTCCCTATTGTATGGAAAATGGAAGCCAAAAGAAGTTCAAGATCACATCACTAGCAAATCATGGTTCAAGAATGACTTCAGAGCACAGGTTCTTTGCACCACTAAGGTTCAGAGAAGTAAAGCAATGGGCTGGTGATATAGGTATGGTAGGGCTGGCGGGTGGACCCAGGCCTGCCTGGTTCCAAAGCCTGTTTGCCTTGTATCCACTCAGCTCTGCTGCCTCACACTCTCTGCTAGGCAGAATCATCTGCTCACTGCCCTTGGAACGCATCATTGCCAAGAATCATGCTGCTTGCCCACATCTCCTGTCTATTCTCTGCCACCCGCCCACAGCCCACAGCTCTCCACGAGGCCTTCCATGTCACTTCCCTGAGATTCCTGGCAGAACGGTTCCCTCCCTTCTCTCGTCCCCCACCATGCTCTCTCTGTGTCCTGCTACATTTACCAATTCCCACTCTGAGTCACAGCACACAGCACACAGCTCCTTAAGGTGAGGCAGAGGTCTAAGTTGGCATGGTGTCACCAGTGAGTGACAGAACAGGCACTGATTGAGTCAATCAATGTGTCTTTTAAGTGGCTAAATTCATTCTTTAGATATTTTATGTATCTTCTCTGCCCAGCTGGAAGACAGTAAGCTCCTGAAGAACAAGAATGGAATCTTTTATTTATTTTATATTTTCAAGAGTCCTCAGCCCTGCGCCAGGTATACAGTCTAGTCCATAACATAAGCTTGAATTCAAGTAGAATGCTGCTGGTGCACAAATCTGGTATAAATTTCTCTACTACTCAAACCCTGTAAAAAGGCAGCTTATGTTAACGGGATAATCAGGTCCTATACTAATGGATATAGTAACTCATTTTTTATAACTAGATGGAAACAGTAGATTTAATGTTCTTAACAGAAATTAAACAATAATAAGTAGAATTTTATGAGTACATTTTCCTAAAATTTGTTCAAAACTCTATGCAATTGAGGAAAAAAATTATAATTCTGTCTTTAAAAAAAGGTAAAAATGCTTACACTGTACCTCTTTTAAATGAAAACATATTCTTTATAAAAATCATACCAGAAACTCCAATGTCTCTCATTAGGAAAAGGTGGGTATCTTTCATCTATTATAGTCATTCATCCAGTTCAACTAGTATGCTAGTAACAGGAGAGAAGATCGCATAAATATTCCAACTCCWGTCACATACCCAGAAAGCAAAGGTGCTGAAAATCAGAATAAGTATTTCAATAATAAACCTTGAAAACCAGCTCTTTAAAATTTTAGAAACAAGGTAATATAAAAATGAAATGCTACCTTTATTAATTCACAAATTATTTTATTAAATCCATACACCATTAACAGGAAAATATCAAGCCACAACATATATTTAACAAACTGAAGACATGAGGTTAAAAGTACATAACAATAAAAATAAAGATGATCAAATTATCATAGCCTTTCAATAGATATTTATTCCAATCCAGTCCTTACCCTGTACTCACATGATCTAACAATAAATATATAGCAAAAGATTCGATGAGTTTGGCTGGCAATCGTCTCTAAATCTACATCAATGGATCACCACTGAACAGGCAGCATCGACTTACCAGCTCCACAGATCCATAATGTTTCCTACTGAAATCCCCACGTCTACAGCCTAGGTCTTCCGAGACAGAGCTGGAACAAAAATGCTTCATCAGTATTATACATAGCGATCTGGCCACAAACCTTCTGCAGAAATCAACTACCATTTGCAAAAAGGGCTGCTATGGAACGGGCTTGCAGCGCCCTGGCTCCTCACTGCAGGGGAGCCTCCGTGCGASAGATACGGTCCCCAGCAGCCATTGCAGAGCCCGGGTTTCATGGAGCCCTCAGTAAAAAGAAAAATGCCCGAGTCATCCCTGGAAGTATAGGCAATGATTGAATTAAATATTTAGTCATTTGGAATCGATTGAAATTTCCAAAGCTACTGGTGGTTTATAATTTCATTTCTCTATTACCAAAGGGGATAGAAGCCCTGCAGTAACTTGAGGCAAGGGACAAAGCTGCTGAACCAGATCTTGCAATTATCTTTTGCTTAAGTCTCTTTGTCCCAAATATGCAACATAAAAATAACCAGCATCATTTAATGCTATATTTTAAGCAGGAGACAAAAACTCCCAAATCCCAGTAGGCCCTACTCCCCAGCGCCCCCTCCCTCCACTTTAATTTAAGACTTTTATGTGGCAATATGAAAAAAGACCAAGACTAACAGAAAATCTGAAAACTGAACATCTGAGCCTCTTTGATTTTTTTACCCAGCAGCAGCTAATACATCCCACTTCCTCTCCCCCTCCCCACAAAATCAGGCTTAAATCAGATAAGAAAACTCACAGGTGTTGTTGAAGAGCAATTAAAACAAAGACAAAATTGTTCCTGCGTTTATGTCTCGAAAGCATAGTTATTCCTTCAAAAGGCACATACCTTATTGGCTAGTTAGTACCTTTAGGACCCCAAGCAGTACTCATGAATGCAACAGAGATCCACAAAATACAAAACAGTTTTAATAAGTTTGGTTCTAATACGTCATGCAAACAACTCTAATAAAACAGAAAATAAAACAACAGAGGAATCACAGGTTTAATATGTTCAAAACCTTTGGAATGTAACGTGCAAAGAAAGGTGCACTCAGTACCTTTTCATCCTTCCTTACAAGGAGGCTACATTTTCTAAATTACAGCCCTCTTGGTAAATTCGGAAAGACACCAGCTCTGATGTTTAGCATCCACAGAACTGACTCTCTGCCAGGACACTGTTTGATAGGCTCCAAGGAAGACAGCACGAGAGGAATGAGATTAGAGAGTCTAATGGTATTCTGCCTCCACCATTTCACAGAGACGGCTGAATTAATCTTATATGAGGAATTTAACCTTTTGTTGTCCTCACTCCCTTAGCTGAAAATGTATAACAGATCAAGGAAGGCAGTGTGGGAGGGGTCCCAGATGCTGCCCCAGCTACCTTCCTGCTTCTAGTGACATCATTTTCTTCCCCCGCAAAAAATCTCTGAAGGAGAATTTTAAAACTTTCCCCTGTGGTGTGTTCCTGTCTGTTAAATCTTGTCTACACTATCTCAACCCATCCTGCAAACCCTCCTAGAGACACCACCCTCCAGGTTCCAAGGTCCTACCCCAGCAGCCTGAGGTTAGTTAGTTACTAAGAGATGGGGGCTCTTGAGAGGAGCATCCATGCACAGACCGACATGGGGCACAAAGCAGATGCCAATTTCAACCCACCGCTGCAGTGCCAGCCAGGCCCACAATGAAACCAGCATCAGCAGCAGTTCTAATGCAAATGGCCCATAACACGAAAAGAGCAAGGATGCCAGCCCCTCCCGGGTTGCTCTCAGTGCCACTGAGGGGGTTCTAAGATGCGTGCCAACAGTTAGAAACAAACATAAGAAAGACGGCAACCTTATATCCCTGGTGCAACCACCTCCCTTAGACACTCATAGGGGAAACCACTGCCCTCTGAAAAAAACTGAGGGAGCTACAAAGAGACTGCTGCTATCTGCTGCCCCCCCACCCCCACCGCTAATTACATTTCATCCAATACACTGCAGAGAGAGAGAGAGAGAGAGAGAGAGAGAGAGAGAGCGCTTCCTCGTGGTAGGGGCTAGGCTGGACTCTATGGGGTGCATTTCTCAGGTTGCAGGAGGCACTCAAAAGCAGTTGTCAGAAGTGCCCCCTTCCCAGGCATAAAGCACCAGGGTTCCAAGTGGAAGGGATAACCCTGGGCTCCAGAGGAGCTCTGTTCTCCTCTCAGTCCCAGGACTGGCCCTCTGCCTGACACAGAGTGGGCAGACAAGCAGTAAATGCTTGCTGCCTTAGTGGAGGCATCCTGTCAGGGCCCATAACTTCAGGGTCTCGGTAGCTAGTGCCTAAAGGCATCCCTTGTAGGCAGGGAGGAAGGCTGCCTGTTGCCATCCTCCCTGATGGCCACTGGTCTTTATTCCCTCCATCCAGCCAGTCTTGGCCCACGAGGCAGCCATTATTATATGTACACCAAAACCTGTTTCTCTTGGGCTTGTTGCTGGACTACATTTGCTGGGCCTTTGTTACAGTATATGTGACCATGTGACAGCTCTGGCCAAAAGTATGGGCAGAAGTGGGTGAACCACTTCCAGGCACATCCCTTCCTGGAAGGCATGCTGTCCTCCCTGGTGGCCACCAGAAGGACCTGCAGGAGGGCAGAGCTTTAGGGTGGAAAAAACCCATGTCTTTGAATGCCCACATGAAAGGCCATACCAAAGAGTATCCAAATTGGAATATGATGTGAGCAAGAAACAAACATTTAGCTGTACCAGTCAGGTAGGATTTGGGTTTGCCTGCTAAAGCCACTGTGTTGACTGAACTAAACAGCATCTCGTGAGGGTGCCCTGCAGCAACAACATAACAGCCAAGATATAGACCTGGTGGCAGACAGTAGCCAGTGAGAAAACTGATCTCAGAGGTCCCCAAAGTGGCAATGTGTATTATATAGTCACAAAATATTTGGTAACACTCATATCCACAGTAATTCAGAAGGTAGACCATGTACTTTCTGAGGCTGCAGCTCCTGGGAAAGGGTCAGACAGAATCAGAGTGAAATCAGTGCCAGCTCCTACTGGCTGACCTTAGCAAGGGTTTTTATAAGAAAGAGACCAGCTCTGGAAAGAACTAGATGGGTTTCATGTGAATATAGAAGGGAATAGAAAAAAAATAGAAAAAGGGAATAGAAAAGGGGCCTCAAGGACTTGACAAATCACTGTTTCTGGACTCCAAATAAGAGTCAAGTGAAATGCAGGTGAAATGCAGGTAGGCATGAGAGGTGCCTCTTCCAGATCTAGCCTGTGACCATTTCTCATGAATAACCCATGGTCTCTTTCTTTATTTGCTAGCTGAATGGGGAGGATGAGGACTGTGAGGGATTAAACCATAACATGGAAGGAGCCTTGGTCTCAAATGGCAACATAGAAGATTCTAACTGGGAATTCCCTTGCTGGGCTGTGCTGATGGTAAGGACCAACTCATACTGTTTTCAATCATTAAGAGCCAGGGCTTATCTATTAAAACAGGTAATTTTATCTCCATCAATATAGCTCTCCATAGGTACTGGAAACTAGTATTAGAATAACTTCCACAAAAGGCRGGTGTCAGAGGGCTGGTAGGCCACAAGGACTCTGTATCAGAGATTGGCGAACTGTGGACCAACCCAGCCCCTGCCTGTTTTTGAAAGCAAAGTATGACTGGAACCCAGCCATGCCTACYGGTTATGGATTATCTATAGCTGCTTCTGCAGAATGACAGAGGACTTGAGTAGTTCCAACAGAAACTAGGACTCACAAAGCCCAAGCTATTTACTAACTGGCCCCTTATAGGGGGGAAAATAGTCATCCCTTCAAGTAGTCCATGAATCCCTATAGCTGGGTTCAGGTGCTTCTAGATTTTAAAATCCATCAGACTCCTTAAGGGAGCTTTGTACAAGTGCAGATTCACAGAGGTTGTGTTTGGTATGTCTGAGATCCTAACAAGCAACCAAAAGACTTCTGCTGCAGGTCACCCACAGACAATGCTTTGAAAAATACTGCTCTTCCAGACACCACTGGAATCCCCAGGAAACCTGCAAATGGTTCTACAGCACTTTTATAAAGAAGATCAAGGCCTAGGTCAAGGTTTCCATCAACGACGAGGTGCAGYGTGGTCCTTCCGAGCATTGCTCTGTTGCAGACTTGGGTTCTTAGCCTCTCTGGGCATCAGTCACCTCATCTCTAAACTGGGCTGAAAGCAGCACCTACTTGACAGGGTTCTAAGCAGACAAAGCACTAACCATGATGTCTACTGCATGGAAACTACTCTCAATGTTATCTATTATTATTGCTCTTATTATTAATATAAGTTCCTCTTAGGCTTTTAGAGAGAGACCTTAGGAAGAAAAGCTTAGCATAAATGATTATCAACTTTTTTATTCTTTTCTTTTTCTTTCTTTTTTGCAGTGCTGGGGATGGAACTGAGGGCCTCCTATGTGCTAGGCAAGTGCTCTACTTCTGAGCACTTGCCTAGCCCTGGGTACGAACTTTTTAGAGCGTTTTAAGTAAAATGTCCTTTTTCCCTCCTGCAGCAGTAAGGAGGACCTGGGTCAAGCACCAGCCTTCCCAGGACAGGCTGAGGGGAACACCCTAGCTCAGCACCACTCTCCTTCCTAAAATTGCTGGCCTCGCAGGGTGACTTCATCTGGAAAATACCTGAGGCCCACTGCTGCAATGACGGGGAAAACACATGAAACCTGGCTGGAGGATGCCACCAGAACCAGGCAGGTGCCGCCGAGAACCGCRGGGCTTCCAATTCCCCACATGCAGTGTGGCCCAGCTTGAAATAGAAACCCTTCTGTTTCAGCAAATGAATGTGTGAGGGTGCTGGATCACACTTTGCAAGCATGAACAGAGTGGAGGACCTCCATGTTCAATTTCTACATATGGCCTGGGAGGGAGACAAGACTTCCAGCTCTACACCGAGGCTACCCGAATTGCAGTTATGTAAGTCAGGTTCCTGGAAAGCAGGATAATGCCCTTTGAAAAGGCAAGAGCTGGCAAAACTGAACAAGAGAAAAAAGGGAGCCGGGCAACCCCCAAAGGGAAAGCCCAACTCATGACACAGGCCCTCACTCAACTGGCCCAGAGATCAGTGCTGACCCTCACAACGGGCTTCAATATTTCCCAGCCCCAGTGGAAGGGTTAAAGCCAACAGTGACAATGAGGACGCCTCTTGGGTAGCAGAGAGAATCTGTGAAAATCAACAGGCAATTTTTTGAAGCCTATCAACAGCCACTTCAATGTCAGGATCTCCAGGAGGGACCCTCCCCCTCCTCCACCCAAGCTGAGAGCAAGAGACAGATGGAAGGGATTCCCCTAAAGAAGGCCAGAGAAACATTTAACTGCTGGATTTCAGATTTGGGCTTGGAGGGAGCTCGGGGTGTCCTAACACAGGTTTCGAATAGCTGATGGCATGTTAGGACCCAGTTGTCTCGTTTTGTGAAGATATGTCAAGTGACAGAAAAGCAGAGATGCAATTACACATTAATTTCTAATGATGAAATGGAGGAATTCTGTCCTTTTCTGAAGGCAGTGAAGTATGAGGAAGAGGACTGGAATGAAGGGGTCTGGGAAATCAGAGCTCCTTGATTCTTAGCACTCCCCAGGTGGCTCCCTGTTCTCCTGCTGTGTCTGGGGGTACAGTCCTTGTACTAGGATCTTAAGTGTACCCTCSCTTAGCAAGATGAATCAGCCATAAGGTGGTCCTAGACCTGAATTTCAGTCCCACCATTTGCTAGCTCTGTGACCCCAGTCAACTACTTACCCACTCTGATCCTGTTTCCTCATCAGTAATATGGGATTAAAATAGTATCTATCTCTGTGAAGCAATTAAAAGACATCATAAGGTGTTTAGCACAATGTGTGGCACATTAAGTAGTTATTAAATAAATGCTAATTATTCTAATTGTCAGAAACTTCACATATCTTGGCCATCACCACACCCAATGCATCTTAAAGTGTGCCTGTTGTAGTAGATCATCAATAACTATCTGTTGAATAAACTCATCATGAATAAATGCTTAGCTCTGCTCCCCTTTGCTCTACCTGAAGGTGTATCTCTGCTTCTTCTACCTCCCTGCCTCCCGACCTCCGGTTGTATATTCCCTGCCGCACCTTCAGACACATTTGATGTCATGCTGTTCAATTAACTCTCTCTTTCCAAACTTTCTCTTTGAAGTGCTAGAGGCTGAACCCAAGGACACTTTATCACTGAGCTACATCCCGAGTCCTTTAAATTTTTGATTTTGAGGCAGGGTCTTAATAAGTTGCCCAGGCTGACCTAAAACTTGTGATCCTCCTGCCTCAGCCTTCTGAGTAACTAGGATTATAGGCATGTGCCATCACGCCCAGCCATTTAAATCCTCTTTTGTTTAACATTCTGGAATGAATTCCTTCTACAATATTT